TTTTTTGTCTCTTCGGGCTGATCCGTGTCGATCAAAATAAACAATTCTATTGGCTTTAGGTCACGTGATGGACACGGACGACCCCCCAAAAAGGAAAAATAGATCTACATACGTACCTGAAATGACTAGTCAAGGTCATTTAACGTAAAATGCAAAAGTGATCAAATTTATGAATAACAAATAGAAATTAGAAAAGCAATAACTTGATATACTGTATACTGTATTCAATTAATGAAGTTATTTTATACGCAAAGGTCCAGGCCATTTACCATCCCTGACGTACCTTTCCATATGTACTGTACTAACGAAGTAGTAAGGCCAAAGTGTAAAAAATAACTCACATGGCGACTATTAAATAAAAGTTTTCAGCACAAATCTCCTTACGTACTAAGGATTAATGCTTAGGGTTAGATAAATATCGAGGTCAATATTATGGATCAATCACGGTCATGTCTTTAGCATTCTCATTATATATCACAGTTCGTTTTAAAACTATACTACGATAGTGGGGCGCTGCGCATTTGACCAAAGATAGCCAATCACTTCTTTTAATCAGTACTAACGCTAACGCCAACAGTATTAACGTTAAAACCTGTGTTTCGTGTAGCCAACAACGGATGTATATATCACATGTCCATCAACCCCGTGCTCACATGCTGAATTGTTCTTTTACCTTCTACGCGCTTCGATCTGTGTGCACTTCAAAACCTCTTTATTTGCATGATGTGTTCGACTTATTCCCAAAAGGGGGTCTCGATACTTATGTGTCAAAGAGAAAAGACATTTTAATATTTTATTATATAGAACATTCTTAGTCGTCAGACAGCTGTAATATATTTTTTCCCCTTATTCTGAAAATTAATTTACTATAACTTTTCGTGATTATTAAGTCCAATTAGTATGTACAACGGATTCGAGAACGGAATCGAGACAGAGAGAAACGAAGAAGTGTGAGTATTTTAGTTTCCTTATGTTAGGAAAAGAATAAGTGCGATCGATTGCATGGACCTTTGTGGTAGATTATGACTAAAGACGAGAGTATCTTTTCAGAATTCTCTCAGAAAGCGACAGTGCCTTATTCAACTAAAGAGCTTAATTATTTCATGGAATGTGTATTCACAACTATCTATAAGGTCTAAAAAGACTTTTATAATATACATGTTACTTTTTCCTTAATTGTAATGTAACATTATATCAAAGCTAGTAAATTACTTTTAATGCTCTGTGTCTAGAAAATATTTAATATGTTAATTCCTGAAATTTTAGACATTCGCCAAATTTATAAGCTAATTTCATATTTTCTTTTTAAGATTAAGGAGCTTTTCGGCTGACGATATCAAAGTGAAGGCAAATGAAAAGTATAAAGCTAAAAACTATGAAGATGCCATTCGACTATATAGTCATGCAATTGGTAATAAAATTGGATAATAAGCAATATGTTTAAAGAATTCAACTCTTTTTTTTTTTTTTTTTTTACCGATATTAACAATGTATTATTTTCATTTTAATAGAGCTAGATCCAACTTCGCCTACATTTTACACAAACCGTGCCGCTGCCTTGATGATGTTGAAAAGACCAAAAGATGCACTTGATGATTGTCAAAGAGCATTAGTTTTAGATCCAACATCAACCAAAGCACTTCTCCGTGGTGCAAAATGTAATTTTTCACTTGGTAATCTCTCAGAGGCGGATCGGTGGTATACCAGAGTTTTACATGCTGATCCTAACAATAAACAAGCAATTACGGAATATCATCAATTGCAACAAGTGCAAGATTCCATTAAGCAGGCTGAATCATATTTACAGAATGGACAATATTTCCTTGCTGCAAATTTAATTGATAGGGCATCTTCTTTTTTGGATGAAGTTCCTGCAAAATGGAAAATAATGAAAGGCGAAACGCTATTGGAACAAAAAGAATATGGAGAAGCGAGCAGGATAGCAAAGTAAGAATTATTATGTTTCATTATAATGACCATAATTGGAAATGCGTCAATCCCATCCACATCAAATAGAGGAATACTGATTACATGGAATACCTCTCATAAATCATTCGAATGAATGAATAAATCCGTTTATTTAAACTCTTTGTTTCTCAGTGAGATATTACGTGGAGATCAGCAAAATCCCGACGCACATGTATTAAGAGCTCGAATATTATATGCAGAAGGTGATAATCAAAAAGCCGCCGCTCATTGTCAGGAAGCATTACGTTGTGATCCCGATCATACAAAAGCACGTATTCTATTAAAGGTAAGGTTCAAATTTTAAAGGTATCATTAATTTATTTAATCATTTCCATTTACATGCTATATCTTTTTATCTCAAAGAAAGCACGATCAATCGAGTCACAAAAAAATGCTGGCAACGAAGCTTTCAAAAGGGAAGATTTCAGCACTGCATATAGTATTTACACCGCTGCGCTTGAGATTGATCCTGAAAATAAAAATACAAATTCCAAACTTTACTCAAACCGATCTGCTGTGCTAGTAAAACTGGGAAAACTTACGGAAGCGATAAAAGATATGGATAAGGCACTAGAGTTGGATCCAACATTTATTAAGGTTTTAAAACGACGAGCTGATACGTATATGAAATTAGAAAAATATAGTGAAGCTGTACAAGATCTAAAGGCTGCTTTAGAAATTGATAGTACCAATCAAGAAATTCGTAGGGAACTACATAACGCCGAGCGAGAATTGAAAAAAGCATCTCGTAAAGATTATTATAAAATCCTTGGGATTCCAAAAGATGCTTCTGAACATGAAATCAAAAAGGCTTACCGAAAAGCGGCACTTCAACATCATCCAGACAAGAATTGTGGTGATTCGGAGGCTGAAGTCAAATTCAAAGAAATTGGTGAGGCTTATGCTATTCTTAGCGATCCCGTCAAAAAACAGCGATATGATTCTGGTGCGGATCTTGATGGTCCTGGCTGTGGAATGGACTTTGATACTGTCGATCCTAATTTATTCTTCCAAATGTTTATGAATAATGATGGCTTTCCTGGCATGGGTGCTGGTGGATCTAGAGGTGGGTTTCCTCCAGGTTTTGGTGGATTTTCTACAAGAGAATTTCCGAGGCAAAGGTCCAGTGGTTATCACAGTTTTCATTATTGAACTGAATACCAGTAATCTAATGTCACATGTGGGTTTTGTTTGATGCATTCTTTTTATTGCATGTACAAAAGATTAGTTGATCATATTGTAACTTATTTGCGATCAATATATTATACATTCCTTTTCATCAGGTGTGTATAATAAAGTTTATACGTAATTATCTCAGTATTTTCTAAGCCTTATATTTTCGCATTGAGTACAGTAGAAACATAGTTTGTGTTAGTTATAAAAAAAACTATTGGTTTTATATACTTGTTTAATATTCTAAACTATTAAAATTTTGTTATAACAAAATTTTAATTTATATAGAGGGCATGGAATATTTGATTATTTTAATTCTTGCAAAACAATACTATATTTATTATTTACAGTATTATGCTGATTTTTGTATTGTGATTTTAAAAATTCATAAAATAAACACTTTTTTATACAATATATTTTTTTAAACTGTTTAAATTAAAAGGTTAAGAAAATTTATAATGATTTTTTTTTATTTAAACAATTTTAACAATAATTCTTTTATTAATAACAATAATTTTTATATATAGTACAAACCAAAATTTAACAAAATAGGTCTAATATTATATTAGATTAATATAATATCAACTTGAAGAATATATTAAATTGCTGTGCTAAAATAAAATATTATCAAACTAATATTCTTTTGTAAAAAAATAAAAAAAATATTACTAAACTAATAAATATTATAACTAAAAAAGATTTTAAAAAACTAAACTATACTATTAATAAAAATATAATATATTGTTTATAACTAAACCAAGCTAATTATATTATACTGTATATATAGAATTTTAAAATTATATATATATATGTTTCTTTATATAGTCACCTTTTATATAATTACATTATATATAATCACATTTATGTTTAGACCAATTTATGATTCAATTTATAAAAATAACCTCTATATAAACACAACTGCTATATAAGCACATTTTGAAAAAATTTATTATATGTTTAACTGTATAATTTTATAAGAAGATAATTGTATTTTTAATTTTAATCTTTTTTTTTAATATTGGCTGGCTGCTAATATTTTTATTAGATCAAAGTATATATATATTTAACTATTTAAGTTGTAGATCTGATATTTCTGATTATTTTTAAAGGTACCCAAGGACAGTTTGTTATATTAGTTAAGGCTTGTATTATATCAGAAAATTGCACCAAACTAGTCATTGAAGCTATATCAAAATAGCTTCACTCTATTTATAATAAAATTTTTTTTTACCTTTGCAATATTGTAAATAGGTGAATTTTTATTAGATATTTTTATATAGTATGTTTATTATTACCTACAATTATATCAGCTTATAACCTTGTGCTGCTTTATTGAAGACCATCCAGATCGATATATACTATACTACTTGTGTCCTAATTTTATAGATAACTCAGTAAGTTTCTATACTACCGGGTTGTCCTAAGAAGAGTATAGTATATATCCCTCTAATCTTTTTATATCTCACATATTTTCAGACTAGGCCTTTTCGGTAACTTACACTGAATTTGAAAACAAGTACTTGCGAGCTGAGGTTATTACAATAATCTATTACTGTCTTTGTAGAGTTTACCCAAACCTTAGTACCTACTTTACAGACTTACTCCTATATCTTCAAAAACCCAAACTTCCAATCCAATGGCTAGAAGTGTGGAACCCTTTCTCTGTTTTTTCTTTGTTGATCTGGTTGGTATAGTATCTGCTAAATATCTTAGTTTTATTCGGTTTTCTGATATCTAGTTGATCATCCTTTATATAGTAACTGTCAAAGATTTGTGCTATCTTTCTACTCAGGTCTTGCTAAGTGGGCTTTTGTATTCTGTAAATTCACTAAATTTATTTGGTAGCTTTACTCAGGTTTCGTATAATTTATATATCACACTATATGTTCCTACCTCCTAGTATAAGCTGATATGACTTTTATTAAAGATTCTATAACCCAATAGGATACAGTCTTTCAAATGCATTTTTTATAAATTTGAATTTTCGTCACTGGTGAAATTTGGACTCTAGTTTTGTTACTTGGGGGTACAACAACTTGCCAACTTTATTAAGTTGTCACACCTTTATAATAAAAGTTTAATAGTAGCAAACCAAGTAATTTTTCTTAATCTATTCTCTCTTCTTTACTAATTTTTTCTTCTTTTTTTAATTTTTTTTTTAATTTGTTTTTGATTTAACTACTCTTTCTAAAGTTTAGATTTGTCTTTTTAATACTAGTAACTATTTTTTATTTCTTGTTCTCTTCTTTTTCTTTTTTTTCATACTTATTTTGTTTTTCTTTTTTTATTTATTAATAAATATGCATCTTTATTTTTAAATATTTTTATAAAAATAATTTCATACTGCATTAAAAACTGTATTAAAATAGCTTCTGATTTTTTTTAAAGTTTTCACTATTTCAAGGATTTTTTTTGCAATTTTATCTTAAATTAGTACTTTGAATATACCAACTTTTGCTTTGTTCTTTTCTTCTTTCGTTGAACTCTATAAAGTGTTTTTAAGTTTTGTCAAAATAACTATATATTTCTTCTGAGAGAATTGATTAGGCCAAGTTTGATGCTAACTGCTTTGTTACTATCTACTTTGTTTTGTACTTCTCGCATGTAGTCAGATGTTACTGATCTTTTTTTCTTTTCTTATACATACTATATATATTAGGTTGTTATACAAGTCTGATTTTTTTTAATTACTAAGGTCTTAAGAACTAAAAGCTTCTCATATAAACATTTAACTAATACTTTTAAATATCTATTTTTTTTTGAGCTTATACATCTAATTTTATTTTAGTTTCTAATCTTTTTCTATAAAATAAACCAGTATTGAGTTTGTTCATTATTGTCAAATTCTATTTTCTTTATTGCTAATATAAATTTTTATTTTATCTCTGTTTTAAGTTCAAGCATTATTTGTAAAAATTTTCTAGTAGAAGTTTCTAAATTACCTATCAGAATTCTAATACTCAAAATCTCAACACTCAAAATCTCAAAAACAAATCTCAACATCATTAAAATTACAACATTCAAAATTTTAATACTATCAAAATCCCAATATTCAAAATCCCAATACTCAAAATCTTAACACTATCATAACTTTTAATATACTAAACCAATTTTGATAATTTAATTACCAAAATGATTCTCTTTCTGAGGAGATTATTATAGTAATTAAATTATCTAAAATTAGTTCAGTATATCAAAAGTTATGATAGTGTTGAGATTTTAAATATTAGATTTTGAATGTTAGGATTTTAATAGTGTTAGAATTTTGAATATTGAGATTTTAATAATGTTAGAATTTTGTTTTTAGGATTTTGAGTATTGAGATTCTGATAATAACTTTAGAAAGCATTTAGATAATCTAGATTGATTCTGGCTATCATTGCTATATGATTACTATTTATATATATATCTATCTTTTGTATTTCTATATTAAATAACCTATAAAACAGTTTATTTGAGACCTATATTTGATCAAATTTTATACTTGTTTCTTTATTAAACTATATGTATTTTTTCATCTTTAAGTATATAATTTTGAAAATATCTTGAAATTCTTGTCTTTGTAGCCAAAACAGAAGCAGATCTTTTCTAAGTTATTTTCTTTCTGTATTATATATTCTGTTCAGTTTTGGATCTACTATACTGTTACAGAATAATTTTATAATGTTATCCTAATAATTTTGTAAAACAATCTATAATAAAATACAAGGTAGTGTTATACAAGAAGACAAATACTATGAGACAAACGTTATAAGATAAACACTATAAGACAAAAATTGTATCTAATTGGCTGTCTCTTATTTTGTATCACATATAGCTGCAGGTAGTGTTGTTATTCAGACTAGTTTTAGACCAAACACGATCTAATCAAACCACTAATCATATTTCTATATCTATATACCAATACTAAAAACCTTTGTGTATAATAGTTGATTAATATAGAAAGACTCAATTTTTCGGGTAGCTTATTTATACACTTTAAAGTAAATTTTGAGAATATAACATTTTACTAATTAAAAACTATTATAAATATCATTAATTCGTACAACAGAAGTGATTTTACTATACTAACTGCATATATATACACATTAAATGCCTGAAATAATCAACCAAAAAGACTGAAAAGAACAAATAAGACATAAGTTTTATATACTAAAAAACTTTCTTATTGTCATTTAATTTAATATGTTAAGAATAATTCTTAATACAGTCAGGAGTATTCCGCAATATGAAATAATCTGCAAATATATTAGAAACGTATTCTAAAATCGATTTCAATTTAAAAAACAAAAGTATTTTTTATTATCTGAAAATAACTATCAGTTTTAAAAAAATCTTTGAAATTTTTTTACAAAATGCTTTCTAAGACTATGTAGTTTAGGGATCCGTAGGGATTCCAAAGGCTTTATAAAGTGGTTATGCAATAAATAACAAAAGTGCAACAGCGAAGTAAAAATTTGGCCAAAATTTGTATTACAGAATTAGAAAAAGAATATTCTAATTGCAGATCTTTTACTATAAATCAAAATGATCTGCATTATACAATTTTGAAAAACTCTTGACAGTACTGTTTGCAAAGATCCTGCAAATTACTAGATATTATAACAATACAGCATGATCAATATAATTTTCTCCAACTTCACCAGGAGTTTAGATGCTTTTGCAGTAGCGTGATGTGGCATATCGTGGCACATTCAGATAAGCTTTTTTGGCTTTATGTTATGTTTCTGGTTAGGGTTCGTGGTTATAGACCTTGAAAGATCATTTCTATATATAAAATTACTCTCCCGACATTTCTTGTTAATGACTAAAGGCCGATTTAAACACTAGTTTTTGAGTATTTTCACTTTTTTCTCTTTTTTTCTTCTTGCGCATGTGTTTTGTTTTGATGTCTGGCTGATCCGAGACGATCAAAATTTACGGCCATTTCTCTTGCGCAACATCATGTTACTGCAAAAGTGTCTAGACTCCTGGTAATAACGCCAGGGCGTAGGATCGATTTTCTGATCACGTGATTTTCCG